AAAAAATACTTTTTAATAATTTAATGATTTTTATGCAGTGAATTTAATATAAGAAAAATATAATGGTATTTATAACTCATTTCATAGTAGTTTATATTTGCTGAAATTTTAAATAAATGTTCACCTAGTAAAGAAGTTGTAAAACTGGTATTTAGTTTATTATATTATAAACCTAAATAAATTAAAATGGGATTATGTTATAACWACTTATTATAAATACAATGGTGGCTCCATTTTTTTACAATATCCTGATCAAAAAGTTGATGTGGGGGGGGACTGCAGGTATAGATTAACAGTTCATTAGGTTTTGTGACAGTCTACAATTATTGTGCTGTAGTTTGTTTGCGTCAATGTAGTGATCATGGTAAGTTTCATATTTTTTCCATGATAACTAACCAATAGTATCTATACATATYATATTATAATTTATTRACTATTCTACGTGTTTTATTAATTTTAATTTGATTTTTATAACCGTGTTGAAATATTAACATCAGAATATTTAAAACATCATAATAATACATTATCTCTGATGTCAATCTTGCACCTTGGATTTCGAACGCTTMAACCGTAGTGTTATCTCTGTCTTACACATGCATATGATGGCAAGACTTCGAACAGGATTCATACGAAAGTTTATTTATAATTAATATTGGAGATAATTTACATATGATCTAATTTTTGTAGGAGTATTTAAACTGCAGTGTCCAAGTGATGAATTTTTTTCACATTTTTAGTTGATAATTTTTTCAAATACTTATTTAATTAACTTGTTTTAAAACTATAAAAAAAATCTTTGCTCGAACACACTTTATATTCTTCTTCATACAAATTCAATAATATCTATGTAAATTTGTTTTAATATTAGGTAACCACAAATAAACTGTAGAAAGAAATCCAATTTATAGATTTTATGTATTTCGTATCATGTGTGTGTAAGTGACAATGACAGTCCATGTGGGTATAGCGTCAACTTTTTTTTTTTATCGTTTATTTAAATATACACAATCTGTAAATGTTGTTTTACAATAAGTACATGTGATGGAGGTGAYATGGCTTGAGTGTCTGGAGATAAGAAGCCGCCCATTGGAAACACTTAAGGTTAGGATTTTAGGCAAGGATTTTAATTTGCTAGTAAGAGAGGGCGGAATTACAAAATTAAGGGGAGGTAGGGGTATATAAAATTTTAGATTAAGCGTCATCTTAAAATATTTTTACTGTACCTATAGGTTGAGCATTATAATATACAACATACAATATTAATTGCAACAAATTTATATATTTTATAATCATACAAAACTTGAAGGACTGTCTGTTTTATTGTGTTAAATTATTGGAGGGGTAGAAGGGCGTCACCTCATCTAGTAATCACCAACACATTTTTARATACAACAAGTGAAACATATTTTGTACTAAAATTATTAAATTAAAATTATAATTTTAGCCGATAAACGTTTGGGTGCACTCGCTGCTGTGTATGTACCTATTATATAATGAACAATGTACAATAATGGAAAGAAACCGTGTCACTCCAATATAATATATAGGTAATATAGGTACGTCACGTGCTGAGGTAATATTAATTAGGTTACTGCCCGCGAAATCCCACTGAACAACATAAAAAAAATACTGTAGATTATACACCAGCTGCGCTTATAAAAAAACTCCGACAACAGCTCGCTGTTAGCGTTTTATATTATATACACATATTGTCGTCAGGGGGAAGAAATATTAAAAATTGTGTCATGTATGTGTGTATATATATATATATTAATATTATATAATAGGTATACATTAGTATCATCTGTTTGGGTAATCGATTTTCTAGCGCACGAGTGGAAAATAAAAAACTTCCGCTCGCCAAAATCGCATCCAGCTGACTATATAAGCTAAAAGGGGTGATAATATATATATATATATATATATATGTATATCATACAATAATACTACCTATACGGCTAAATTTGCAATATCGTCGGATAATAGAGGGATGTAGTCAATACGGGGATAGAGAAACAAAAGGGAAAAAATTTAAGTCACCTACGTTATGGTTCATATTATTCATTTATATAATATACATACCTAAATCTAATATAAAATATACGCGGGCCGGTTTAAAGTTATATAATATAATGTTATGTACTTTGCATAATATACTGGACGAGAGAAAATCAGTGGTAAGGCGTGGCGCATCGGTGGCACAAAGATTTGTCGCCGCCGACACCATCGCTGAAAATTCGATATATCGTAGGGCGGGGACCGGTCGGGTGAACGCGGATGATGGAAACACTTCTTATCCTAGAGAAAGAGAGAAAATGGTGAAGATGCGGAGAAAGTGTGTGAGAAAAAGAGAGAAAGAGAGAGAAATGGAACGAGAGGGATGATGAGAAAGAAGA